GATTCATTTTAAAGAGGATCACTCACATGATGCAGAGCTAACAGCAATGGTAAGTACGATTTGCAATAGCTTAACCAAATTTGGAAATGCATTTTTCAGGGGTAATAGCTTCAAGAAGACTTCATAGATGCTACTCAGACTTCTGCCTGTTACTGTTATGGTGTGTTTGGCCAAAGAACACTCTTCAATAATCATATTCTTGTTGAGACTGTAGTTATTAATAACTGGGAGAAGCTCTTCAGGATCTAAAAAGCTGGATGACTGAGGACTGCAGTGCTGAATAGAGCATAGTATATCTAGATTGTGACCTGAGAATCATTTGTTCAGCTCAGAAAGTATGCAGTCAAGTACTGGAATGTAAATAGACATTTTGAGCTGATCATAAGCGCTGTTCTTCTCCTTCATTCCAGTAGTGCCCATTATTACGCTATCTTGAAGTCGATGTGGAGTGACTCTTGTACGTCTGCTATGACAAGTTAAAATGATGTCCATGTCATGCAGCTCAGTAATCCTCTTTCAATACTGTACAATCTGCTCCCAGCACTTCTCACCCCTGAACTCATTAATTGTTTGTATTGTAGCAGTAATCAACTCTACGGCTTTAGCCATAACTATATCTTTACATTGTAATTCGTCAGACAATCTTTTTGTGCAAGACAGAATAAGTAAAAACATTGCAAGTATGAAAACAAACTTAAGTGAACGAATCTGGAAAAGTATTCCATTAGCTTCTACAAACTTAGCCTTATCATCAACATCTTTAATGCTCTCTATTGTAGCAAAAATCAAATCGTATGTGCTACAGACAGATTCAACAGCAGCATATCGACAAGCCCATCGAGTGTCAGATAAGCGCTGCATCTGACGAACTTGTTGATCAGCATGCAATTCTGACTGCTTAGATATGTATATTTCATGGGCCTTGGAGGAATAGATGAAAACATACAGCAATTGTAAAAGCTGAAAGGACTCATCAGCATCAGGTACACTTTTAGCACAATCTACTAATACTAGATTGAGGCAATGAGCATGACAATGCACATAGATGGCTTGAGGAGCTACCTCTTTGATACACTGCTGTACACCAGTATTCTTACCTGCCATCACTGATGCTCCATCATATCCCTGACATACTAACCCCTTAGTATCCAGTCCACTGAATATAAAAAGACAGGCTAGCAGCAGTGAGAGATTCTGCATGAATGTAGGAAAAAAACGCGAGGAAAATACCGGAAGTCATTGCATTATTCACAGTCAGTCAAAGAACACCATGTGTCCCACATGACCTTTAGGATTTAACAAAGACACCTGAAACCATTTGTTCAAAATAAAATAGTAATGGCTGCCCCAAAGTGATGTTCTCATCGAGGTCCTTCATCTGCTGGTAAGTTGAAAATGTGTAACACCGTAGTGATAACTAATATTGTTTTGTTTTTGGTACATGAACTTGGTCAGTTGTTTGTATGTTTGTGTTGTACATTAAAAAGCAAAACTAACTATATTTGTAGCACAAAAAGAAGTCAGGGAGAAAGAGATGAAATGGGACGGAAGAGAGAGGACGGAGATAATTTAAGAATAAATGGTAAGCTTTGAAGGTGAAACCTATAACTGTACATAACATTCTTTTCAAAATATTCACAAGTTTTAAGTAAGTTTATTTTTATGAATGAACTACAATAATTTTTGCTGTCAAGCAGATGTGGGGACAATGAAATTAAAAAGTAACTTTGCATCTTATGTTCTTAGTTCTATTTACAAAAATTATTCAAAAACAAAGAAGGAATGTTTTTACATAAATTAACAATAGTTACATTACTTGAACTTTAAATTTGTACTTATTAACTGAAAGGCTTACATCAGTTCAAAGAAGCTCTACATAGTTGAAGTGTAACTTAAAGGCTGTATACCATTGTAAATTAG